CTGGAGTTCCTGCCGTTCCCGCTGTTCAGCTGGAGCCTGGCTTTGGTCTGTGGGTAAACACTGACCAGCCTTCAAACCCCAACAAAACAGGGGTGGGTTTTTCTTTCCGAGGGACAGAGAGTGTTAAGTACGGGATTACAAGGCTGGAAATGGAGCCGTGTTTTCCTGTGGCTCTTTTGTAATTCCGGGATTATGTTTAACAAAGGTCCCCTTCAGCTCCCTCGGTGTTTCATTCCCTTGGGATGCTGGTGAGACCAGAGCTTTCCTTACCACGTTGAACTTTGCAAGAGGAGGTTTTTCACTTTATATTCAGGATGGAATTTCCTTTTTCTCCTTCTTCGGGTTTAGTTCACCTATTTTAGGAATGATTCTTCTGGATTTATTCCAAATATAGCTGCTGTGACTCAGCCTCTGCTCCTGGCTTTGGGCTCCAAGATGCACTTGCTGCTTTTACATTCCCTCTGCCTCTGGAATTTCTCCCTCTTCCTTCCTAATCCAATTCCTCGAGGAGCATTCTTCAGTTCTTATGGCTTTCCTATTGATCCCAGGATTTTTGATCCCATGATGTTTTCCAGCTGTCAGGGGCTGAGGAGGTTTTTTGGCTTGGCCTCGTCATTGCTGTTGTGTCTCTGCTCCCTTTTCTATTCCCCCATCCAGTGTCTGCAGAAGATTTTCGGGATCAGCTGGGAATTGCAAATCAGGAGGATTAGTGTTTGTATCCACCACGCTCCAGTGGAAGGGGATTACAAGTCCTGGGTCACTCAGGAGCTCGGGAATGTAGCTATGGAGGGATGGGAATTCTGCTCTGCTCCCACACGGCTGCCTCAGCAGATCATACAATCCAGGGATATCCAGGGTTGGGAGGGACCCACAAGGATCAAGGTCCAGCTCCAGGACACCCCAACAATCTCACCATGTGCTCCTTGAGCTCTGGCAGCTTTGGAAGTGGCCACTTCCTTAGGGAGCCTGTTCCAGTGCTCCCTCTGGGAGAAAAATCCTTTTCCTAAAAATAATATTTTGCTTGTGTTTTGTGGAAATGAAGGATAGGATTCCACAATGTCATTCCTGTCCTTTGGGATCAGACTTTTCCTTCTCTTTCCAGCCAATAACAGGTATTTGGCATCAAATAAAAAAGGAGAGCTCCAGACACATTCCCAGGAATGCCAGTGAAGGATACTGGTGGGATAACACGTTCCCAGTAATGCCAGTGAGGAATACCAGGAAGGCATGATCCCAGTAATGCAGGGATGGTTGTGCCCTGGGAAATTTCTGTGGAGAAATGTATATTATATTTATGGGATGTCATTCTCTGTGCTCTGACTTCCATATGTCCACCCCATTCCATTCAAATGCATGTCTCTAATTAAAGGAATTCAATATCAAATGATCAACTTAAATTTGATTCAATACATATTATTCATTGAAAAGGAATAACCAGAATATTTTATATTGGTTTTAAAAGGTTTTATTGGGGAAAAAACAAACCTAAAGGAAGAAAGAGGGGTCTTGGGAAGCATTTTCCTTGTTCTTTCTGGATGTGTATTCCCAGGCTCTCTGAATCGGAGAGGTCGTGGCTCCTCTCACAATTCCCCTCCTTTTCTTGCCATCAGGGACATTTTTTCCCCTCCTGTTGCCTGGCAATTCCTGTGGGATCACCCAGGTCCTGCCCTGTGCTTTCCCTCTGTTCCCTGGGCCGTTGTGGAACATCTTAGGACTGGTTTTCCAGAGGACAAGCATCTGGCCTAGGTGCTGTCTTACACCTTGACCTGCTTATTTTAGATTTAATTCCTTAGTTCTTCCTTGCTGTTGGAATCAGCTCCTAAAACTGAATTAAACCAGGAACTCTGTTTTTTTTGTAAAGGGAAAAAAAAAAGTGCCACCCAGTATTTCCCAAAACATCATCTGGGAATATCGAGTTTATTTTCCAAGTAAAACTAAACTTGTGAATTCATCACATTCCTACTTCAAGTCCTTGTAGACGCTCGTTGAAGCCCATAAAGGAGTTTTTCCCAAGGGGCTGGAGGGGCAAGACAAGGGGGAATGGCTTCCCAGTGCCAGAGGGCAGGGTTAGATGGGATATTGGGAAGGAATTCCTGGCTGTGAGGGTGATGAGGCATCACAACCTCATTTCTCTGACTGAGTATGAGATATCCATGAATGGAAAAGTGGGAGTGCTGCCCTCCCACCCCTCCAAGGTTTCTGGTGTCCCACCAGAAGGAAACTCCTGGCTGGAGGCCGTTAGGAATATCCCAAACCTTGGAAAACCGTTCCATCCAGCAAATCCCTGGTGAACCTGGTGCAGTAACGCAGTGCCCACCTCTCCAAAGGGCTTTTCCCAGTGGCCAACCGGAGTCTCCCAATCCATCATTTGGGGAAAGAAAGGAGCAGAGAGAAGTGTCTTGTGTTCCTGGAGGTCTTTCCAGCAAAACACAAGGAATTAGGGTTGTGGAGATAAAGGAAAGGAGATGATCAGCTGGAGGAGGACGCGGCTCAGTCGGGAGTACAAGATTCCAGCAGGGATCACTTCCAAAGAGAACATCAGCAAGGCTTGCAGTGAAAGGAATTAATAGGGAATATATCAAGGAAGCTGTTTGGGAACTGCTGAGAGCAGAGTTGGACACACAGGGAGCTTTGAAGAAATCCATGTGTTTGTGGGTCACCTGGGGGTGAAACCCGTTATCCCGCAGAGGAAAAGCTGGGAATTCACAGCATGGGATCCATCTGTGGAAAGAGAAAACAAGCCAGTATAAGACCAGCTCTGCCAACACCCTTGGGTTTTCCTCAGTCTGGAATTTCTTGCAGGGGAGCTGCTTCCAGGCCAGATTGAAGCAACCTGGGATAGTGGAAGGTGTCCCTGCCCATGGTACTGGATGAACTTTAAGGTCCCTCCCAACCCAAACCATTCCATGATTCTTGTTTTCCATTAGAATTCCTGTTCTATTTCTATGGCAAATAGAATATTTTATTCCACGTGAGGCGTGTCCAATCAACTTTTGGTTCTGGTGTAGCCAAAATAAAAGAGTAATTAAAACAGGAGCTGTTAATTGGGGGGGAACCCCCTTGTGTTACAAATTCCTGAGCTCACAGCAGCCTTTTTTGGGGAAAAGGTGGGATAGAGCCCTGGAACCTCCTGAATGAACCTTTAGCAGCTGAAATGGGAGTTAATTTAATTACTGTTTGTGGATCCCAAGTGAGAGTCAGGCTTCAAAGGACTTTCCTGAAAAGTTGTCAGGAAATTATTGGGATTTGGATGCAGTGCAAGGTCAGGAGGCCTTTTCATGTTCAAGGAGACTTTGGCTGGATGTGATTTGCATGTGATTTGCATAACATGAATGTTGAGGGCCGACAGGTCAGGGAGGGAACGTTGCTTTTTTGCTTTGTCTTCTCTCTTTGTTCCCACTCTTCATGTTGGTTCTCTGCTGCCTGGTGGGAAATGAGGGATTTTTTGGCACACAGAGAAAATCCTGCTCTTTTCCCGAAGGGGCTCCCAAAAGCATTTCCATCCTACTTTCACAAGGACAATGCAATGGGAGGGGAAAGGGAAGGTCACCTTGACACAAGGACTCACCTGTCCGTGTCACTGCTTTAAAACCCCTGGAAAATAGATTTATTTCGCATTAGGACTCTGTTTGTAAATATTTTATTCCCTTATTTCGAAAGGATAACGAGAATAACTTCAGGAACTTCCTGGATTTGGGATGCCAGGTTTATTATTTTATTTTATTTTATTTTATTNTATTTTATTTTATTTTATTTTATTTTATTTTATTTTATTTTATTTCGTTTTATTCATAGATGTTGGAACAGGCTCCCCAGGGAAGGGGACTTTGGACAAGGGCCATCAAACCCTTCTGCTGGAATGTCAATCCCGAGCCCAAACATTCCACGGACGTAAAGTTTTACGCTGATTTTCCTGGTGATCTGAACACTCCATGAGGCCACTGATGGCAATCCCTGTGTCCCTGTGGTTTTGCTTTATAACCCTGATTTCCTTGGCTTTCAGAACTGCTCCTCCTGTGCCAGCTGGGGGGTGGAGGGACAGCTAATTAATTAAGCACTAATTGTTGTCAAGTCCGTTGGTGCTGCCATTCACCGTTGGACTTGTTTATGATTGGAGGTAAAGCAGGAGGAGTTAATGATCCTCCAAACTGTGCATCCATCACCAGACACTTGGTTGGGAAGGAGGGGGTTATTTATGACCTGGAAAACAGCGCATTGGAACAAACCCCCCCGGACTGGGAAGGCAGGATGGTTTTGGGTCTGGCGTGAGATCGTCACTGGATAACTGTGCAGACAAATGTGCTGCCTAATAGAGCTTAATGACTGATTTTCCCCTTAATCACAACTGAGAATGTGCTTCATTAAGATAATTAACTGAGCCACTTGCTTAACTGACACTTGGGAGGCACACATTCCCAAGTTCCTTGGCTTTCCTCTGAAGAAAACTCCCGAGGAGCTGACCCGGCTCCACCGGAACGCGAGGGCTCTTGGAATCTCCTGGCTCACGGAAGATCTTGATTCCATGTCCCTGTCTGGGAGAGGGGTGGGTGGCACTGGATGCCCTGCCCAGGAGCCAGGCCTTGGCCTCTGGGTTTTCCCACTCCACAAATCTTTGCAGATGGGCTTTGATCTCCTGATTCCCCAAAGGTCGGAGCTTGGTTGGGGTTGGTTTCGTCACCCAAGAACTTTTCCCTCTTCCAAGGGAGAGGATTCCTTGTCTGACTGGTGGCTTCTCCTCTTTGTTGCAGCTGGAAGTGGGGTCATGAATGTTGAGCCCCCCTGGAGCAGGGATGTGTCAGATCCATCTGCTCCATTTGTAGGCAGAACACACAGCGCTGGAGAATTTCTGGGAATTAACGAAGAGATCCAAGCCTTGAATTATTAAATATCTCTCTGGTTGTGATGTCTGGTTGTAAAGCCTTCCCTTCCCAGCTCTCTGTGTCTGGAATTCTAACAGGGGGATGTTTGGAGCCAACATCTCAACTCTGCTTTTCTTTTGTTCCCAGAGTTCCTGGTCTTCCACCATGAATCCTGTTTACAGCCCCGTCCAACCGGGGGCTCCCTATGGAAACCCGAAGAACATGGCATACACAGGTAGGACTGGTGTTCCCTGGCTCCTTCCCGAGTGTCCATGTCCCACTGGAGGAGCAGGTGGTCACTCAGGAGCGATGGGAGAAAGAGTTCCCATCAGGGAACGGGATTCGCAGGGAAAACCTTCCAGCGACGTCAGTGCAGTGAGTAGTGAGGAGAGTTGAATCCATAGGAGGATGCCCTGGAAATCCTGAGGAAAAGGATCAAAAGGGGGTTTCTTCGGATAAACAAAACAGGCAAGAAGTTGCTGGGAGGGTCAGTGGGAGCTTTGTGTGTGGAGCTGAGCTGGGCTTGGCTCTGCAGCTGGGCTCAACTTCCCTCCAGAGCTGAACTGAGCTTCCCATGCACGTGCTGGAATAATCCAGCTGGAGAAGTGAGGATCCCCCAGGATCTCCTGTTGTTTGGAGAATGTACAGTTGCTCTTGGAGGTGGGAACTTAAACCCTGTTCTTGGCTGAGTTCTTTGCTCTCAGGTTCCACTCTGCTTGAGCCCATCTGATGTTGAGGAACGAGTCTGGTTTAAAGCCCTTCTTTGGAACTGAGTTGTCTAAAAATGTAATTTTTAGTACTCCAACAAGGCACTGCAAGATGTTTCCCATAATTCTGCAGCTGAAGGGTTCTGATGTGGAAAGAATTTAGGTGGAAAAACTCCGTTTCTCAGTGGTTTTCCCCGTGGATTTTGCTCTCATGAGCACCTTCCAAAACAAGCCTTGGAAAACTCCTTCTTCTCCCATTTTGGATGTAATTAGGTCTTGGGTGTCATGTTGTGTCAAGACTTTATATTTGTGGGGCCTGTTGGGCATGTTGACTTCCCCCTGATGTGTGGAATTGCTTGGGAATGTGCTTTTGTGGAAGTGAGCATCGGACACTCTCAGCTCCTTTGTGTACGGAATATTCCAGGGAACAAAAACCTTTTAAATCTGAATTAGTTGGAATATTTCAGGAAATATAAAGTTCTACAGCAAAGGAGGAGGAGAAAATTGAAATTTTAACCTCTGTACAGAAAAGAGGCAACTCCTGAGGGTGGGCTCAGAACTTATGGGAAGAGCTGTGGAATAAAACTCCAGTGGGATAAAGGCAGAAAGAAAACAAGGATGGCAATCAGGAGACTGGCAGCTTGAATATGTGGGTTTTTTAGTTTTATGTGAATATTTTCTAGTATTTAATATTTATTATTTTTATTTCTGTGATTGCTTTTGGCTGAAAGGATCAGTTTGAATCTGATTTTCTTCTCATTCTTGTTTCTTTGCTGTTTTCCAAACCCGGGGGGTGGGGATGGGGAGAGAGATCCATTCCAAGAGAAATAATAAGAGTTTTTGTGCCAAATTGGCTGTTGGGGAAACTGAGAAATCCTTGTGTTAGGAAGAGTGGGGAATCCTTGGCACAGACCCAAGGACCTGGAGCACCATCCCTTTATTCATATCTTTCATTTTCCCAGTCTGATCTTCCTTGAAGGACAGTGATTTCCTAAAGAATTTTTAAAGTGTGGGCTGGCTTAGATGGATCTTTAGAGGAAATAAAAATCAAGTTTAAACCAGGAGGTTTTAAATCAGAGTTATTTGGTGAAATAGAGGCAGAATTGGGAAGCTGTTGTTTGAATTGAGGCTGATTTTTAATTGGATTTAAGGCTTGGTAGAATTCCTTCCCCCCCAACAAAATCTGAGCTGCTGAACCACCTGGTTTTCCTTTGGAGTGTTCCCCTTCCTGTTTTCCTGCACCCACTCCAGGAAGGCAGCAGCGCTGTGGATGGATCAGCCTGTTGGTGTGGAATCAGGGATGAGGAATCCAACCTCTCCTTGTTTGATTCCAGTGGTGTTTGTTCTCCCTCCCGCTGGGATCCTTTCCCTCCCAGGATCTCATTAATATGCTGATGAGATGCTGGAATTCAGGGCCTGACTGACTCCATGTTCCTTATTGCTGAATAATAAATGGGAATAAAATCCAGGAGCCCAAAGATGTGAAGCCAGTTGGGAAATCTCCAGGGAGTTTGTGTCGCTCCGGTGCACGACATCCCTCCGGTCCTGCTGCACTTCCCAGCCTGGGAGGGATGCTCATGGAATTCCGGGATGGTTTGAGTGGGAAGAGACCTTAAAGCTCATCCAATCCCACCCCCTGCCATGGGCAGGGACACCTTCCACTGTCCCAGGTTGCTCCAGCCTGGCTTTGGACACTTCCAGGGATGTGGCAGCCACAGCTTCCCTGGTAGAAATCCTCCTTTTAACCCTCCTTTGTGGGACACAGAGAATTCCAAGCGTGATTTCAGCCTTTTTATTAACTTGAAATTCAAATTGGGCTGTGTTATTCCTTGGAAAATCTGGGCTTTGATAGAGATTGGCTCTTTCCAAGTTCTGCCGTGTGGAAAGAGGATAAACTTGCCTTTTTTCCCCGTTCTTTTTGGTATTCCTGATCACATTTTTGGAGAGCGCTGAGGAACGTGAGGCTTTGATGCCAAAGCAGGTGGGATTGGGCTTCTCCCTCTTTCCTTTTCCCTCTCCTTATAAGATCTTCCTGCATGTCCCCCCTTTCCATGGATTGGGATATTTAATTAGGGGATCCATTGCTTACCAGTTGTGTAAAACAGGAATTTTCAGGGCATTGAATTGATTTCAGGGGGATTAAAAATGGATGAAGTGGATACAGTGAATATTTTCCCTCTGGCATTTCTCCATGTTTATTAATTGCTGTGTGTGGAGCAGACAGGGAAATCCTCCTGGAATGGGAGATGAATGAGCTGTGACCTGTGGAGACTCTTGTTTTTATGTTTAAATGTGGGATTTCTATACTGGGAAACTTCCAAACAACTTGTAGAATCATGGAATCACAGAAATGCTAAAAATATGCTAAAAAGTCCAAGGTGAATCCTTTGAAATTCCTGTAAAACCTGCAACATGAAGGTCATTAAATTCCCTTAAATTCTGCTAAATCCATATTTAAAATGAACTGCCTGGCTTCTGTCTATCAAATTTAGAGTTTTTTTGAGATGGAGAAGGAAGCAGAGGGGTTTGGGATTCGATTAGGGGCGGAATCCCCATCTCTGGAAGTGTTCAAAATCCCTGTGGATGTGGCACTTGGGGACATGGGTCAGTGGTGGCCTTGGAAGGTGCTGGGAGAAGGATTGGACTCGATGCTTTTCCAGATCTTTTCCTGCCTTTGTGATTCTGTGATCCCCAAATAATTCACGAAGTGGTTTGGAGCTCCAGAGAAACGTTGGGAAACATCCCTCTCCCCTTGTTTTGTCCCTGTGGTGAGGGCAGAGAAGAGAAAAAAGTGTAGGTGGGAGGAAAAAAGCCAAAAAGATGACCTTGGAAACATGTTTTTTATTTTCATTTTAATTTTCATTTTTATTTTCATAGTTTTACTTTTATTTCTGTTTTAAGCACCAGCCCCACCAAAGCTCTTCCCTTCCCTTGCACATCAGCAAATTCTAACCAGTGATTTTGGCTTTGAAAATGTGGATTCAGGATTAAAATTGGTGACTGAAGGGGTTTTTTATTGTCTTTTTTTTCTCAGTCTCTCTAGATCACAGAATGAAACTGGGGTTTTGATGGTTTTGTTCATTTTTAGGGTGTTTCTGAGCCATCCTATTTTCCTTTGTTTCAGCCATGTTTTCCATCATTTAAACCTTCTTTTTCTTCATGTTCCCTGTGCTTCCATGTGTTTTCCTGGATGTTCCTTTTACTTTGCTCCTGAACAGCAAGAAAGTTCCATGCAGGAAGTCAAATTGGCCCTCTTGGCATTGCAGGGGTCGGAAAAGCTCCTTAACATGATTCCTCCACCCATAATTCCATCCTCCCTCCCCAGAACTATCCCTGGATGTCCAGTTTGTCCCAGCAGAGACCCACCAGCAATCCCTAAATCCCTCAGTGATGCTCCACCCTTAATATGTGCCGCCTTCCCCCCTACACCCTTTTATACCAGATCTGTTAGAACTGAGCCTATTTTCCCTAGTTTGTACAGATTTATTAGTACTGAGCCTATTTCCCCTTGTTTGTCCCAGCTCTGTTAGTCCAGAGCCCATTTTCCCTGGTTTGTACCAGGTATGTTAGAACTGAGCCTGTTTTCCCTGGTTAATACCAGATCTATTAGTACTGAGTCTGTTTTCCCTGGTTTGGACCAGATCTGTTAGAACTGAGCCTATTTTCCCTAGTTTGCACAGATCTGTTAGTCTGAGACTATTTTCCCTGCTTTGTCCCAGATCTGTTAGAACTGAGCCTGTTTTCCCTGGTTTGTCCCAGATCTGTTAGTCCCAAGTCTATTTTCCCTGGTTTGTAATCTGTTCATTACCGAGTCTGTTTTTCTACTGGACTTTATACCAATATTTTAGTTCTAGTTTACTGAGGATCAGCTTTCCCAAAGCTGGGCTTATTAATCACAGAATCCCAGAACAGTTAGGCTTGGAAGAGACCTTCCAAATCATCCATTTCCAGATCTGTTTGTGGCAGATTTTGCCTCGTCTGACACCAAAATCAGGTGTTGCTTCTCTGCAGCTCCATTTCTATCCTGATTTTTCCTGCTCCTGCCCTTCCCTCTGGCTGCTCTCGCTGCCATTCGGCCTCATTTCATCTCAGGCAGGACTGGGGGAGAATTTTAATGTCTCTGTGGCCAGAGATGATTTATGGGATCCCAAAGCCCTGGCTGGGAGTGCAGGAAGAAAATCCTGGTTGGCACCGCTCAAATAAATGAGCCTGAAAGGCCCTTTAGTGTTCCAGGCTTTTTTCCTTCCCTTCCCCTCGCCCTCCCCGGGCCTTTCCCAACCCCTGAATTCCTCCTGGTGGTGAGAAGAGCTTGCAGGAATTGCCAGCTCCGGGGGTTTTTGTGATGAGTGTATTTGGCAACAGCCTCAGGAATTCCCGTTACCTTTCATCTGGGAAAAGCCTGCTTTTGTGGTGCCCAGGGAAAACCAGGGAATCACAGCATGGTTTGGGTGGGAAGGGACCTTAAAGATCATCCAGTTCCCCCTGCCATGGGCAGGGACACCTTCCAATCTCCCAGGTTGTTCCAACCTGGCCTTGGACACTCCCAGGGATGGGGCAGCCACAGCTTCTCTGGGAATTCCATCCCAGCCCTCCCCACCCTCCCAGGGAAGAATTGCTTCCCAATATCCCATCTAACCCTGCCCTCTGGCAGTGGGAAGCCATTCCCCCTTGTCCTGGCACTCCAGGACCTTGGGAAAAACTCTTCTATGGGATTCAATGAGTGTCTACAAGTCCTCAGAGTCTGTCCCCACAGCAACTAAAAACTGTCACTTTAAATGTCCTGTTCAGGCTCTTCCAGAGTTTTTTCCCTTGTGGATTTTTTCCCTGGTAGCCTGTGCAGGAGCTGAACTTTTCAGGCAGAATTTAATGCCAAAAATCCAATAAAAACAGAGGCATGTGCAAAGAATACAGTAAAAAACGGGGTCATATGCAAAGAGTACAATAAAAAATTGGATCATGTGCCAGGAATCCAAGTGTTGGAGCACTCCAGGAAATGTAAATGTTACAAATCACACAAGAGAAGAAGATAATAATAATAATAAAAAAAAGGAAGAACAAAGCAGTGGCAAAGTGAGGGCTCAGGGAGGGATGGGGTGACCTCGGAGCTCCTCTGCCTCTCCTGACTCCCAGACTTCCATGAGGCTCATTAAAGGCTCCAAGCACAAAGCATCAAACACTTCCAGGAAAAAGTTGGTCTCCATGGGAATAGAGGGCAAACTAAAAATAACTCAAAGCTGCATTTCAACCATTCTGCAGGAGATTGTCATGGCAATGGGGAGAGTTGTAACCTGTTGTCATGAGAACCAAAGTTGGGAATTAATGGGAAAGCTGCTCCCACCTCATCTTTATTCATCCCGGATCCAACATCCACGAGGGGACAATTCCACAGGAGTGCCTTGAGGGAGCAGCTGGAGGGGAGCAAAGGAGGGAAAATGGGCTGTGGGGGTAAAAAAAAAGGAATTTAAAGTCTCCATGGCCAAACCAAAGCACTGATAGGATGGGAAAAAACCCCAGGATGGAAATGCCTGGAGCTTCTATTTTGTGTCCTAAACTGGGAAAGGCCTCTGAATTCCTGGGAAAAAAGTCCTGGCTATCGTAGCCTGGAAGGGAACTGGTGTGTGGCTGGCGGGAAGCAAGGGAAGGGAATTCCAGCTCGGGATCAAATCCTGCCAGGCACTGACTCACCTGCCATGGATTTGTCCCTCTGTTTGCCTTCCAGCTCCTACATTAACCAGTAGTTAAACCATCCCTGGAATTCCCTGGGACTTCCTTGCCTAATGAACACTCCAGGTGGTCCAGGTGCTTCTCCATCTGGCACCAGCTCGGATCCATCTGCCCTGGCTTTGGCCTTGAAGAAACCTCTCCTGGGAAGTTTATCCCAAAATCTTTGCTTCCTGAAGCCTTTAAGAAACAAAGGGACGTGCTGCAACAACCAGGAATCCTGTGAGTTTCTGGGACAGATGGAATGGTTTCTGCTGCAAAACAGGGAATTTGATCATGCACAGGGAAAAACAGGAATGTCATCTCTTGGAAGACTCCCGTGTGTTTAGGAATTTTGGAATGTGTAACTCCTGTGTATTTAGGAATTTAGCTTTCACATGTGGATGTTAAAGCTTCTGGCACAGCCATTCAGGGCAGCTTCCCAAAGGAAATGCAGAGCTGGTCACCTTGAAAAAGCAGGGAATGTCATCCTGCATTTCCATCTCCACTCTGGCCAGGCAGGAGGACTTGGCACCCTCTGGAGCAGAGAGATTTGATGGATGGCAGAGCTCCTGATGTCGTTGGCAAGCAGTGCAAGCTCCACAGGATTTGGCAATGTTGGATTCCTTTATTATTCCCTATTTTTAGAGAAATCTCTCAGTTTGCTCCTGCTCCTGCTGTAAATCCATGGGCTCCATAGGGAGGTGTCTCCATGTGTTCCCATGCATTATGCACATCCCACATCCCCAATATACTGATCCAGCTCCTAAACACCAGCCCTTCCTTTCCTGCACTGTCAATCCAACACGTTTTCCCGGTCAATCCAACATGTTTTCCCGGCAGAACCGGGAATTTCTTGGTATTTCCATGTTGAATGTTTGACCTTCAGATGATTTTTTCCCCCTCTAACTCTTGTTGCTCTTGAAATAAGAAAATCTTTGGGGCCTTGAAATTAATTTGGCCGTGGGTTCATTGAAATCCCTTTTCCTACAGGGAAAAAAAAACCCTGGAATTTCAGCCTTGCTGAGCAGCACTTCCAGAATTAAATTTATCAACAGAAATGACACCTCAAAGAGCCTTTTTGAGAAACCCCAAAACATCTCATTTTTGGTAACTACGTATGGCCAGAATGGGAATTCACCCCATCCTTTGAAAACATTCCAGATGTGGGAAAAACAAGGAAAATGGAGCACCAAAAAAGAGGAATCTTTGCAGCTGTGATGATTTGGGAAAGAAATGATTCCTGGGCAAATAAGTCTGGTTTTCTTCCGGGCTGGGTGTTGAATAGGCAGAGTCTGGAGTTATCCTGATTTAGGAAAATCCTTCTCCAATATTCCTTAACTGCTTCAGGAGCTTTCCCAGGGCTCGGGTTCCTGATCACCCCATTTTATCCCAGTTCTTTCCCTGCCTCTTCATTCCAGGCTGTGACAATGAGCCTGTGTTTAATTTGGCAAATAAACCTAAAACATAAACCCAATTCCGTCCCTTGGGAATAATAATTAGTATTTATTCTTCCCAAAACACCCAGTTTGCTGCCAGAAAATCTGGTGGAGTTTAAGACAAATTATTTAATTCAACATAATTTTTTAAAATTTCTTTAATTTATGAGAAAATTAAAGGGAACAAAGAGGGAAGAGAGATGCTAAATTGCATAAAATCATGGAATTTGGGTTGGAGAGGACCTTAAAGCTCATGGGCAGGGGCACCTTCCACTATCCCAGGTTGCTCCAAGCCCCGTCCAACCTGGCCTTTCCCAGTAGTCCCAGGGTTGGGATTTCTTTGGGGAGGATGGAAAAACCAGCTTCAGTTCTGTCTTGAGAAGGTTTGAACCTGCATGCTCAGGTTTAGGGATATTTTGGGATGTTTTTCCTGCTCCATTTTTGCCTCAACACTGGAACGGGACCGGAGTCCAAAGGAATGTCCAGAAGGTTCAATCCTCAGGAGATTTTTCCAGTTGAATTTGCCCCATAAATTTGAAGGAGAGTCATTGAATAATTCCAGTTGGGAAGGACCTCTGGAATTCCCCAAGTCCAGCTTGGGGTCAGGCTGCTCAGAGCCTTGTCCAGTGGACAGAAGTTAAGGAATGTTTTCCAATGTTTTGGCAGGTTTTGAAGTTTTGCTGGAAAAAATTCTCCTGACTCTGTTGCCAGGTTTGAAAAGAGCAGGACTTCCAGAGGATTTGGGATGTTGGATATGAAGCTTCTCTTGCTCTGGAGCCAGGCTGGGAGAGCTGGGGGGGTTCCCCTGGAGAAGAGAAGGCTCCAGTGACACCTGAGAGTCCCTTGCAGGGCCTAAAGGGGCTCCAGGAGAGCTGGAGAGGGACTGGGGACAAGGGATGGAGGGACAGGACAAGGGGAACAGAGAGAGCAGGGAATGGGGTGGAAACGAAGCACCTCCAAACCTGGCNGGGAAGTTTTGTGGCTTTGATGGGAAGATTCAGCATCCTGGGAAGATTCAGCATCCTGAGCTCTGCACTCTTGAGTTCTTTGGTTTATTTTTTGTGGGGATTTTGTTGTTTTCCCCTCCCCGAAGTTTGCAGGATCTGTGGACACAAAGCTTTTGCAGCTGCTGCAGCTTTTTCAATGGATTTCCACATCCTCCCAAATTCAGAGGGATGAGTCACCTGGCAGAGACAGGAAAGGAGGCTCATCCCAAACACATTCCCGTTCACAGCCCTGCCTCGGGATGCTGAACATGACAGTGCTTTGTTTTCCAAGAATGGGCAATTAGGGGGGAGATAAAAAGCTGCTAATTTTCTGGGATGGGAGAGGAACAGCTGAGAATTGTAGTCATGGAGTAGTTTGGGTTGGAAGTGACCTTTGAAGGTCATCCCATGGGCAGGGACACCTCTGTTGTCCATCCCAAGGCTAAAGCAGTGCAGGTTGATATTCAGGAACTAAATGTTGCCCAAATTAAGAGGAATAATTAGGAAGTACCCTGAGCTTCTGGAAAAACCCACCCAGAGTGATGACCTGGGAGGTCACAGTTTGCCCTTCCTCGCCTGTGGATCTTCTCCTTCTTCTCCACCTTTATTTTCCCAAGGTAAAGTGGAAAAGGTAGTATGGAAATTAAAATGGAAAAGGCAGTTGGGAAACTGAAATGTCTCTTTTCACCCCGGAACAAGGTGGGATCTTTAGTTTTGTGCCCAGATCACTTCTACATATTTCATTTATTGACTAAACCTTTGGGAAGCAAAGACCTGCTTGAATATTCATTGCCTAAGTCCTTAGAACGCCCTGAACTCCTAATCAGGTGATATATTTACTTCCTTAATCCCTCCTGACCTTCTTCCCTATGGAAATGAGACAATTTGAGAGCATCTCCTGCAGCACCTGAGATCCAGCTGATTGCTCTGGCAGTGATTGCAGTGCCTCTTCCCAAAATTCCTGGGAAAAATCCTCAATCTTAACTCTCCCTTGGCTTTGCTGTGTCCTTGACCACTTGTCCTGTCCCTCCATCCCTTGTCCAAAATCCCCCTCCAGCTTTCCTGGAGCCCCTTTAGGCTCTGGAAGGGGCTCTAAGGTCTCTTCTCCAAACTGGACACCCCCAGCTGTCTGTGCTGATTGAAAAATAATAAATAAATAAAATCAACCTGCAAAAAGATGCCCAGAAGACAAAATACTCATGGAACAATCAGGATGTTGGGATTTGGCCTAAAAATGCCACTGAAATGCTACTCCAGGCAAGGTTTTGCTGCCGTGGAAAACGAATGGACGTTGATTTTATCCCACTCCTATAAAACAGGTGCTGGAGTTCCAGAGGGTTCTGCGTGGTCACAGAAGACAGACCTCATTCCAAGAGATGATTCCCAAGCAGTTGTAATGTTCTCCTGCAAAAAAAAGCAGTGATTCCTTGAGCTGGGAAGGGAAAAATTCCATGAAAGAAGCTGAGAGGGGTTGGTCACATAAACACCCAGCGGGAGTTGCTTCCGGGACACACCAGCTGGAATAAAGGGTGAGAGTAGGAACTGGAATCGTGATTTGGCACTTTGGAGGGTCGGGTACGGGGTGAGGTGGAAGTTTGGAGGGAAAGTAGAGCCCTGAAGTTTTAAGGAGCTAAACGAGGTGATTTGTGGCATTTTTAAAACCTCTGAGCCACCGCGGGCGCTTCAGGAGGACTTTTTGATTCTGCTGAGGCTCCTCAGATCTCCACTTTCATGTTCTTTGTCATCATCTCTTCATCTCCTGATTTCCAAGCACCAAAAGGATCCTGCCAAGCTGTTTGAAACCTGAAAGAGAGAAGCTACCCTGTTTATTGACCTCTGCTTGAAAGCTGGAAGCCTTCCTCCGGTGCCTCAGATGTTCCCTCCCTTCCCCTCCTGGGTTGTTACAAACCTCTGCCTGTCAAGGGTGGGACGAGCTGAGAGCCTAAAAATTCCCAGCCTGGAGCTCATGGACCACCTGGATCCTTCTGCTCCCCATGGCAGGACCCTGGAAGTGTCCAAGGCCGGGTTGGATGGGGCTTGAAGCAACCTGGGATAGTGGAAGGTGTCCCTGCCCATGGAACTGGGAGATCTTTAAGGTCCCTCCCAAGCCAGTGTTAAGTCCCACCAAGAGCTCTGGGATTTGGGTTTAAGCTCTTTGATATGAAATCCCCTAATTCCTTCTATCATGGATGTATTCCATGCTAATCAGTGTCCTGGATGTGAGGGATGAATGTGGGGTTTTCCAGCAGCAGTGACAGGCTCTGAGAAGGAATTCCATGAACTCTGCTCTGGAGCCAGGCTGGGAGAGCTGGGGGAGTTCCCCTGGAGAAGAGAAGGCTCCAGTGACACCTGAGAGTCCCTTGCAGGGCCTAAAGGGGCTCCAGGAGAGCTGGAGAGGGACTGGGGACAAG